CTTGCACCTTCTATTATATTGCCCGCCTATACTTTGTTTTGTTCTATGGATGGTTTATGATGATTTGTGGATGGGATGAGAGCGATTATTCGGCGGGTTACAGCAGCAGCAGAGATGGTGGCTCTGCTGCAGTAAGTCTTGCCAGAGTGGGGTAAAGTGGATTGATGGGGGGTGTCCTGAAACGTCTTCTGATTTGTGCCAAAAAAAAGAAGGATTTTGTGCTCTGATAAAAAAAGAAAAAAAAGAAAAAAGAAAGAAAGAAAACACACATTGGCCAGGGTTAGAAACCAGTCAAAGCGGGTTCATCGACTGATGTGCACAGGGTTATATAGGGCCCTTTGATCGGCTTGACCAGGGTTGGAAACCCATGTCAAGGCATGCTGACCGATGGGTCAGCCCAGGGTTTAGGAAAGCATGTTGACTGACTTGCCACCCAGTCAAAGCACATAGACTACCACAACACACACAGCTATACACAGTCACGCATTTCTTGACGTCAACATGAGCACGGGAGCCGAGATGCCCACTGCCTTTTGCACACGGAACAGAGTACTGACCTCTTTGATCTGCACGATCTATGGCAGAGTAGTCATGTCGCCCCTGGATCGGTTGGCTGCTGACCATCCGTCGGCACCTACCGGTCGGCGGTCGGTCGGCACCATGCAARAAAAAAAAAAAAAAAAAAAAAAAAAAAAAGGGGGTCCATACCCCCCGTTTAAGTACGTGCTAGTGGAATCTTTGCTTCGGGGGTTCATGCACCCTTTTTCGTTTCAAGGAGGTTGCACCACCCAAAATGCGCCTAAAATAGAAAAAGCGCACAAGCATTGTGATCTGTCTGTCTGTGACAGATCCTTATCACACCAGAACTGTTGCTTCTGCTTGTGAATTCACACCCACCGAAAAGAAACCAAACAAAGGCTTTCTTTTTGGGCATGCCAATTCTTGCTCCCCGCCTTGCCACCCCCCAATGCACCCTAATTCACGAACAGGGCCAGCCTGGGTGTATTTTGTTCATGGGTAGTAGATTGCACCAACATGGGGGGTTCTCATTTCTATGTCCGGCGCCACTACCGGTAGTTCAGGGCGAAGGCTCTCCCTTCTAGTAGAGAAGTGAGAATGTGTTACATGAGATAGGTGTGCGCACACACACACACACACACACACACACACACACACACACACACAAACAATGGCTGTAATTGTTAGAGGCACCAATTTCTCAGAGCATGGAAGAGAGTTTTGAGGGTTATGTGAGGTAAGGGGTTAGTTATGGCTGGATTAATAACTGCTCTCAATAGCCTTCGCCTTGCCCTGTGCCCATGAACCTGGCACGAAAAGGGGTTAGTTACCTTGTCGGGGGCTGCTCATTTATAACACAGTTCTGGCTACATTATTGATCAATGCGCTGTAACAGTTTTTCAATTGGATCAGCCTGGCCTGCAAACAATTTTGGAATCTGGTGAGACAGTAATTGTGCAAAGAAAAAGACAACGATGCCGTCTACTTTCCTATGTTGGGAAGTCATCACACACCCCAAAGCGCTTGGCGGGCTGGCTTGGCTGTCTTGGATCCCAAGTGCTTACTACATCAGAGCTCTTTTATCTAGATGGGTCCCATGGGCCGATTTCGGAATGCTCATTTGACGCTGGGAGAAAGTTGGCAGAGTTTTTAGCTTTATATACACAGTCCTTGGTGGGATTGGAAAATGCTTCGCTGGTATATATAGGATATATAACCACGCTACGCGGTCGGTACGTCCCACATGCAAGGAATCGAACCGGCGATCTCGAGCTCAACAGCCAGAGACGCCTTAACCACTGCCACCATGACGCAGTCCTTGTTGGATAGGAACGCGCTTCGTTGCATTTGGAGCATGGTCCTCATCCTGCCCGCTGCTTAACCGGTTTGTCTGTGCAAGAGGCCGCCTTTTTTATATTTGGTCTGGCATTTTGAGGGAAATGGACAGATTGGCAGATTGCTGCCCTGCTGCCTGCGATCACCTGCGTCAGTGGCTATGGGAAGTTTGCTGACGCAACCTCTGTTCGATTATCAGAAGTTTTTTCCCTTCTCTTCCTGTGTTTTAGGGTAGGTGTCTTTAGGAACTCCTGGGGCGTGGTCCCACTAGCAAAAAGGATCAGATCGAATGCGTGAATCTGGACGAGGTTATGGAGATGTGCAGGAAATCGAGATTGAACTGCTTTTCTGCATCTCTGCATAAAACATATCCAGATTCCGGAGCTCGATCCTATCCTTTTGGCTGGTGGGACCTCAGCCCTGGATGTCCCATGGGCCATGGAGTAGGGACCATTTTAGATATCTAGAATTTGGCCTCAATTCCGGTGGTTCTCTTACCACCACTGGGATAGAGGCCTTGCACAAGGGCCTTCGGTGAAAAAAAAACAAAAACAAAAAAAAAAACACGATAATGCTGCGGCTGGAAACCCTTACACTCTATGGCACCACAGTAACAGGCATACGGACTCAGCGACAACATGTGCTGTCTCTGCACCAAGTGTGGTCCCAGACTCCTGGCTCCACGTGCAAAGAGCAAGTCGTCCCCCCCCCCCCCTTCTTAGCAAGGATTTGGGTGTAACCACTTTCACAACTTCTAGTACCTCTGCTCACAAATAGAGAATAGAAAGGACTGAGATTCTGCCTCAGTGGGTTAGAGCACCGGTTGGAAATGCGCTTTGTGGTCTGAGGTTGCAGGTTCAAAACTCTGTGGCCGCGTGCCCATATGCTGGCAGCGTGCACATAACGCACAGCCATTCACATACCCCCCCCCTTGGGCGGGTAAGGATTACAGACACTGCCATTCGCATGGTAAGGATTACAGACACTGCCTGTGCACATAACGCACAGCCATTCGCATGGTAATGATTACAGACACTGCCTGTGCACCAACCAAGGGGTTAGAGTCCATGGTTGTTGTATGTTGGGTTCCGACTGTGTGTGCGCGAGTAGAGGACGTTAGCTACTGGTTGACCTGATAGCCACCACTTGTCAGGGCAATCACATCAATGATATGGCGCACCGATGAGAAGTAACCCACCGCAAATCAGCTTGACTGTGTGTGGGCGAGTAGAGGACGGTAATTGCTGGTTGCTCTGATGATCTCCCTAGCCTGGTTCATCATCACACCTTCTTGTGTGGTTGGCTTACAACGCAAGTCGATTGTCAGGGCACCCGATAACTGGATGCGCCGATGACAAGTACTCCCCCGTAAATCAGCTTGCACCCTGGCCTCTACAACAATCTGGGCTTTTCATTTCAGCAGCAACAACAACAACAACAACAGCAAGAAAGAATTCTGTGAAAAGATCTCCAAGTTTTTTGTTGGGAAGGTACTTGAGCTGCTTAATTACGCGGACCACAACTGCAGCCCACCTCCCAATCTCTCTCTCTCTCTCTCTCTCTCTCTCTCTCTCTCTCTCTCTCTCTCTCTCTCTCTCTCTCTCTCCTCTTCGGACTTGTTGATGCCTGTTTGCGTCCTTAAGTACAAGGACAGCTTGCATCCTTCGCATCCTTTTCCCCTTTCGGTGCCTGTTTGCAGCCTTCTCGTTGATCCCAAGGACTGGGACTGGGACTGGGACTGGGACCATCCAGTTCTGAATCTGTGTTCTGTCGCATAGTACTCAAACAGAGCAGGTCAGGTTGCTAGTCTAGACGGTTGATGTCAAAGACAAATACAATTTGACATGTCGAGGAAAAAAAAAAAAAAAAAAAAAAACAATTTGTCAGAGTACAATATGTAGCACAAAGTAGAGGTAAGGCAGCCCCAACCCCACAAATCGGTTCCCTTGAACGACTTTTCTACGCAATTGGGGTATCCGATTTCGCATCCCTGTTTGGACCTTGGCCAAAAGAGGGACGACGGTGGGGTGAATCAATCAGTGATTCTTTGCCTCGTTTGGCTGCGGCAATACCCCAATCACAGGGAACTGCTGTTGGGCTTGGGGGAGGTAGTCAAACACATGCTAGTGTTCTGTGGCTGGAGGCTCACCTGGCTGTTGCCACTGCATGCTGGTGTGCCCAAAGGCGGTCTTCCAGGGCCTCTCCCTTGTGCAGTTTTTTGTGTGCTGGGCTGAATATGGGGGACCGTCAACACCTGACCTCGCATTGTGAACTGTCCGATCCCTTTGGGAGGGGTGGAGGCACACCTCTCCCAAAAAAGAAAAGGAAAAGAAAAGGAAAAGAAAAAGAAAACAAAACAAAAAGAAAAAGAAAGACCTCCCATTGTGAACTGTCTGGTCCCTATTCGAGTGCCAGGCACGACATCCCATCGAACTGATGATTCCTTCTTTCGTTTTCTTTTCTTTTCTTTTTTTTTTTTTTTTTTTTTGGGGGGGGGGCGGGGGGGGGGGGGGGGGGGGGGGGGGGGGAAGTGTTGATCCTATTTTCCTTGGCCCTGTTCCCGGCTTAGAATGCTATGAATTGTTTTGGGGAAAAAAAAAGAAAAAAAAGAAGAAGGGAATGGTAGAAAAATGAGAGTGAATACCAACTGGCCTAGCTCAGTTGGTACACCGCTGAACTGTTAAAATACAGACCTGAGTTCAAACTCCAGCGAGAGCAGATGAGTGAAATACCTCAGGTCAATTCTGAACTACCTAGGGCCGGTCAGCTCAATAATGATATCCGATATCTCAAGGTCATTGCCCTTAGAAAAAGAAAAGGAAAAAGAAACACACACACACACACACACACACACACAGAGAGAGAGAGAGAGAGAGAGAGAGAGAGAGAGAGAGAGAGAGAGAGAGAGAGAGAGAGAGAGAGAGATGTAAGAGCGCCGAATGGGCTGCAAGCCTGTAACTGTTCTGCGTGTGACTTGCCAGAGAAGAACTGGTAAACGAAAAAATAATTAAATAAATATTTATTAAATTGACAATTTGAAAAGTAAGTGAACGAAATGAATAACAAATGTAAAAATAGAACAGATAAATTGAGATAATGCATCGTCGATTTCTGCACATTTGACTTGCCGGTGGTGATTTATGCAGCTTCATCATTGAACCTCGACTGCTCGATCTGTCAATCTGCTGATGGCTTCTCAAGTGGCAATGGAAAGACGAGGGCACTACGGAAGTCAACACTCACCAGCTCGCCCAGGAGATCGGGAGGAGGAGGCAGTTTATCTTCCTCAGAGTGGGAGAATTATCGTTGGCAGTGTCGACAGCAACAGTGGCAATTTGTGGCCCAAGCAACCAGAGAGGGGGGGGATCCAGCAAGCACATTTCTAACCCTTGAGGCTGGAGATCGGGACGGATCAGGTACCATTCTTCTATTCGGAAAAAAAATCAGACCTTTTTCTTTATCGTTCGTTTTAACTGCCTTTCAGAGATTTGTGAATGTGTGCTTTTCCACTACTCTCTCTCTCTCTCTCTCTCTCTCTCTCTCTCTCTCTCTCTAATGCACACACACACCCCCTTGTCACGTGCATCTTCTGCTTCCAATTGCAGCTGTTCTCAGAGTTTCCCTTTGAACTAAAGCTTCCCCCTCCCTCCCTCTCCCCTCTTCCCTCCCTCTCCCCTCTTCCCTCCCTCTCCCCTCCCTCCTGTACATTAGTCATTTCTGTCCTCCCGCTCCGATCTGCGCAGTTTCCTGTGTTTTCCTCTACAGAAGGTCGAGGCTATATCGCATACTTGCGGCTATGCTCGTAGATGAACTGCGCTGCGCGGTGCACTGATCGCAGATGCACAAAAAAAAAACCGTGATGTGTGTATACACGCTGGAGAGAGAGAGAGAGAGAGAGAGAGAGAGAGAGAGAGAGAGAGAGAGAGCCCTTTCACATTATTCAGACAACCCCAGCCAGCCAGTACTTCAAAAGGTCCGTGCCAAGAATGGCAAGGGTCCTGTCGGCAGGAGAAGGGTAGTCACTGGACGGGTAGCCACTGGACTTGTAGTAAGGAGGAGAGAGCAGGCCAGCTATATATGGTGTAGCTTCGAATTCAGGTCCGTGTTCGAATTCAGTTATGGGTTACTACTGACTTACTAACTCAGCATGTGATTCTCAAAAGGGCTTCATTCCACTACTCACCAAATGTGCAAAACTTGAACGAATCTTCTCCTAGAAACTGGAACCATTCATGCCATACATTTTTCTTTTCTGCAAGTGCTGATGAGTGGAGCCAGGCCCTTAGGGCCACTGCACGTAAGAAAAGGAAAACCAAAAAAACGAGACAGCTACTACTATAATGTTTGTAGTAAAGTTTGTAACCCATAACTTTTGGAACACAGACCTTGATCCGAATCCAGGATATATTGCTGGCTTCGGCTCGGTGGGCCAGCAGTTTAATGGACATCCGCTTCCAAAACCATGGGAATCCTGCCTGCTGATTCCTTGCAGGGGCTCTGTTGGAAGGGGAAAAAAAAAAAAAAAAAAAAAATGGTAGGCCGTGGTAATCATAAGTGTCCCTCCCTTTTGAAAATTTTAAGTGCACGGAATTTTTTTTTTGAGAATGTATCCAATCAGTTTAATGTACGAAGTGGACCCAAAATATTATTTTTCCATGCACTTAAAATTTTCAAAAGGGAGGGACACTTATGATTACCACGGCCTACCATTTTTTATTTTTTTTATTATTATTATTATTATTATTATTATTATTATTATTATTATTATTTTATGAATTTTATGAATGTGCTGCATCACGTGCGCGCGCACGTGTGCGCATGCACTATGTGGCGCACGTACGCAACTTGCACACACGGGATGCGCCGCATGTATGCTGTATCGTCTTGCTGCCTTTTCCGTGTGCTTGTGGAGAATGAAAAACAACTACCCAGCGCGTGCAGCTGAATGGTACACCCATTAACTGTTGATGAACGGACCCGGGTTCAAATCGCTATGGAATTAGATAAATGAATACTTCTGAAGTACCTGGGGCCGGTCAGTTCGATGATAATACACCAAGGCCGGTGGCCTTTCAAAAAGAAAAAGAAGAGAAAAAAAAACTTAAAAAAATAAAAATAAAAAAAATTCCCCACCTTTTTCTTTAGCAGGGCCCACTGCCCAAGGCTACATACAAGGCTTTCCACAAGGGGTCAGACCATACATGCAAGCGCACCTCGTGCGCGAGTTTCCCTACGTCCGGCGCACGGGCCCGACCGTGCGGGTGCGGCGCACGAGGTGTGCGGGGAACGCCCCCCCCCCCCCCCCCGAAAAAAAAAAAATGGCAGGGGTCGAAACGACACATCGGAGGCCCCCCGCCAAAATTGTTGCCAAGGTCAAAAAAATTTTTTTTGGGGCCGCGCTCAAGGCCGGAGCGCGAGGTTTCGAATTTTCGAAACCCGTTTCCAGTTGTACTCTGTGTGGGCTTGCCTGGCCTCTTGGGTGGGTGGGTGGCCTGCGCGGCGTGCCGTTGCGAAGTGCTGCGAAGTGCCGCCCCGTGCTGAAGTGCTGCCCGTGCTGCCGTGCTGCCCTGTGAGGGAGGAGCTGCCGCCATTGCCCGGTGAGTATCCACCAGCTTCGACCTCCCCTTCATCATCCTCACTGCCTCCTCCTCCTCCTCCTCCTCTCCTCCCGCTCGTCCTACTCCTCCTCCCCTTCCTCGTCCTCC